GGACACGTTTAGCCATCTACTAAAAATCACGTCATCTTTAACCCCCTCAAGAACTAACGAGAGTCCTAACCTCGAAAGTACAACGCGTAAAGTAACAGCTTACACATACATTACATTCATCATTCATCATTACAATCATTCTTGGTTTGAGCTCTGTAGACTCGAAATTTGTAATACAATTTAAATAATATGATATCAGACTAAATTTTCAGTGGTTAGTTTTAGCGGAGACTATCAATCTGGGCAGGACAGGATTATTTATTATATATACAGTGCACGAGTAAGTGCGAAAACACAAGGGTACTCCCTATTCTCTCACACTCATAGTCCTATGAGATAGTACACACACTCTACCGGACAAAACTTTGAGCAGTTCATAAATTCCAGGCTTTACATGATTTCCAAGGCATGCGAATGAAACAACGCTAATATCCTGTTAGTGTTGAGAATGTCTTGACAGAAAAATCAAATAACTGATTTTGGCCCAACCTGAGATTCGAAACTGAGACCTCACGATCAGCAGTCGAGTTTACCATCACTAGACCAACGAGGCAGTGAGATACAACAACCTTAAAGGAGACAAAAAATCTGCAAAACAGAACAGTGGTAATACAATTTTCGTTAGTTATGTGCGACAGCACCTTAAATATGTGTTTTCCATGGAAGCTTAGATGACAATAGTATTTTATGGCTTATTAACGCTCCTTGTATGCGCAGATAACATCACGTGTTTAGCGGTTTGATTTTCAGTCATAATGCCCAGTTTACATTATTCCAGCCCAGTAATCCAGCGAGAATCCAGTCCAGTGATGTACTGGGTCTGTATCGTCTACATTATTTCAGTCATTTAGAAGCCGTTGAAGTGTGAACACATTAAAGGCTTCTAAATGACTGGAACTCTTGCTACAAGAAGTTATTAGTGAGTTTGATAAGGAACTCAGAAAAAAGGAATGGATTTGGGTGAGAAATTGGATCAGCGAAAGAGATCGAAAATGGGCCAGTAATGGTTTTGCAACAACTCAAGGTAGAAGATCCCGCTGAATATAAACTGGAATTGCTAATGATAGCAGAACACTTTGAAGAACTGTTATCGTAAGAGTTGGACTCTTACGATAACAGTTCTTCGAAAAGGGTGACAAAACATCTCCTTGTGGACAGCCTCTTGTAGCTGTAACTTCAATCGAAGTTTGAAGCGGCGCTATTATTTTTGCCTTTCTGTTTGAGAGCATCGGCTTCACCTACCTGACGGTTGTGGGGTCAACATTTTTAAATGTCAGCCCTCAATCAGCACTGATGTGGAGCTTGCAAACGATATGCCGGCATCAAACTCTGTCCCGCTCTGTCACAAAAAAATTAGAGGCCAATTTGACCTTCTTTTTCAAGTAAACGAGTTACTGAACGCACTGAATATGTTAACGCCAAGGATTCCGATGCTGGCTGAAGGAAAAAGGGTAATGTCCAAAAATTGAGAAGATACGATAACGTTCCTCTTCTTACCGACTTTAAAAAGGAGCAGGTATTCAATTCGACTGTATGTTTTTTATTTGTGTGACCTCAGACCTTTTTTAGGTGTACTGATTTTGATGGTTAATAATTTATTTGAAAGCTGGTACTTCTCGTGTAGTTCCGTACAAATTTAATCAAGATCTGACCGGTAATTTTTGAGTAATCTTTAAATAATTCGTATTTAATTGACTTCGAATACATTGATTCGGTCGTATTGAAGTTGGATATACAAAATTTTTAATTTTACAACTTGTTAGTAGTAAACTCAATCATGTGTCTTTTGTGGATCGAATTGTTGATTCCATCCATCCATTACAGCCTATAAAAGTTCACTGCCGAACATAGGCAATCTATCAGTTGCCTCATAGGCGAATATTTGTTATAATTGCCACGCTTGGCAAGTGGGTCGACAACCGCAGTTTTTTATCATTTTGATTTGTTATCAGGAAGATGCTGCCACCCATCCTGTTGTTTGTGGAAAGAGTATGTGTATTATTATTTTTCACTTGAGATAAAAATGAAGATGTAAACGGACCTGTAGAATTTTTCGATATTAACTACGAGGTTTAAAGGGGTGTAATGGTATAACAATACCTTACCCGAAGAACTTCCAAAATGACACTGTAGTGTATATTAAAATTGCAAAATTATAAAACAATTTTGGTTCCTACCATAAGTAATTTAACTTTTTTATTATTGCAAATATTGTATTACTATACTTAGAGCTGGTGACTTTAATACACAAGGTGAAATCTTTCCTCACCATAAATTCTTAGAGAAATGTGTTTTACATTGTTCCCTATTTTGAAGCAGACTATTAAGTGACTGCATTTCTTAGTGCACTCTTAACATAAAACGAAGTTTCTCAATAAGCGTACAATGTACCCCTGTTGTGCATCGTGCATTTTAGTTGAAAGTTTTTTTTAAGATTTTAATCGCTTTTTTACTTCGTTGCTTTTGTTGCGGTATGATTTTCGTAATTACAGCATTCTTTGTTTTGTGATTTAAGATGAAAAAAGATCTTGATTTAAACAACATATTAAAATCTAAATACTGGCAACAACGCAATGAATTCCTTTCCATGTCGCATTTATCCCTTTTATTTAAAACCAGGTACTACTCCAGGGCGATACTCTGCATCGCTTGTTATCATCACGCTGTAGCTCAGCTTAAACTTATGGAAAAAAATATATATTCACTTTACATCCAACAGTATTAGATACAGTTGAGAAATATTTTCAGAGGAAGAAATAAAATTAAATATAATGCATTATGGACATAATTAACACAACAAACTTTAAAGAAATTGTATTTCATAAAGTTAACAACACATCCAATATTTGTTAAAAGTATATTGACGAATTTAAGAGTATAAGAAAATTTATAAATTAAATCATTTTAAATAGATCATTTAGATTGGATTTTCTCAAATCCTTCCTTCGCTTCTTTAAAAATTACTTTTGAAAATCCTTTGATCTTTCCATAAGCATTAGGTCAGCCATTGCTGTAATTGTTCATTCTTGCTCATCGATGAGATGAAAATGGGAATTACTATCAGCTTCTGTAGAGATCAATAATTAAACAATCGAGAAATAACTGTTTGAAAGAGAAATTATTACTTTGTAGACTTTGTATTACTTCAAAAGAGGAAGAGATTCTTGTTTCTTAATTACGCAATACCTTCATCAAATGTAAATCGATATGAATAGTTCTTTTTTGTTGAATAAATGATACTTCAGGGGTTGTCCTAAATAATTAGTTTAACTTTAACTGGTAGAGGAAACTAGCCATGCAATTGTAATGAAACTCAGATATATTATGTAAGTATGTATTGTAAAAAAGAAAACGTAATTTTTTTTAAACTATGTTGGCTATATAATTGCCACTACTGGTCAGCACACATGTGAAATTGTTTGGAACATGGAACAGCACAAAGAGGCACGTCACATTTGCCACATTGTATGTTGGATCTTTTGTTCTTAGTTGCGCTGCTGCATACTCGGCAGCGCCTGTATGTTTCTATGCCTTCTGGTAAGTGCTCACCAACATTGGCGAAACAAATATCTTCAGGTACACCAAAAAGTTTCTTCTGTCGAGTGAGTACCTCTGCACTAGCCTTCCTTTTCTTTGCTAAGAATTTAGGAGCAGTTGAAAATTTTCGTTTCCGAAATGTCAAATTGTTTACTAGTTCTCTGGCAAGAGTAAGCCTGTACATCTTTTGGCTCATGGGATTGTGTACTCTTGAATTCTTTGAGTACAATATATGCGCATTTGTGATTGCTACATCGAACAAGAAAAAAAACAACCGCTTCCACCATTACTTGCTTCGACGAGCGACATCATAAGTGGTTTTTTGCTGAACAAATTTATCAACCCCACCCATTCGCTTCGAGTACTCTACAACTGAGTGTGGACAGGTAAAGGGTCTTTTGCTTCCATCTTTTTGTGTACGTTGACATGTAGCCTCTTCTATCGGGTGAACGGCTGTACTCATAATGGTCACTAATTTTGTGTCCTTCCAGATCGAAAACCCTACGTTGTTCCGAACTCGCCACTTGTACTGCCCTTTTTGTAGTTGTTTCAGTTTTTTATTTTACCTCTTCATGATTTCGCCACAATTTCTTAGACCAGTAGGTTTCTTTACTAAAACAGGCATTCCCAATCTATCATTTCTCGCTGTTGCTGTACTGTATATGCCATGGTCGTATAAATGCTGAAGAAGGTCATAACTACTAAAAAAGTTGTCAAAGTTAATATGAGCTGAGCAACCTTCATCGATAAGTGGTTGAGCTAGAGTTTTTACCACACTACTTCCTAGACCAGTTTCCACATTGTCTCCTTTACCAGTGTAGACTTGGAAGTGAAACAAATACCCAGTCTTGCTATCTGCTCTAGCCCAAATTTTGTAACCGCGCTTGACAATTTGAGCATATACTGTTTAGCGCACTGCGTCATAACTTTACCATTGATTCATCAATGGACTGAGATCTTGTATTTCGGGCATTATTTTGACACCTCTGGTTTATTTGATCTAGTAGTGGGCGATAATATTTATAAAAAATTTTATAAAGTTTGTCGAAACCTGTTTCACCTCTTCTGGGCATCTGTTCGTTGTCATTTACATGTAGACATCTAGAAATCTTTTGAAATCTTTGGAGTGTCATGGTTTCAGCAATCTCAGGGACACATAATGCTGGATTGCTAGACCAGTAATCTTCAATTGACGGTAGTTTGTGTATCCTCATTTGTATTAGTATTCCAAGATACGCTTTGAGTTCGTCTTTAGTAATTTGAGTAAAATTTCTAACATTTGATTGACGAGCAAGCAAGTTCAATTGAACAAGTAGATTTTCAATCACATCATTATCAAAAAAAACTTCGAAGTAAGCGATTGGTCTAGATCTACTCGGAAAATGGTTCTGCGATTGAAGTTCGTCTTCATCGAGGGAAGACACGTTCGGATCATTTGTCCAATCAACTTTCTTCCATTCTATTTAATCATCATCGGAATCTGATTCTTCTGAAACCAAGGCGGTGGGTATAGTCACCTCTGCATCTCGTGTATTGATTGACGTAGAATCAAAGGGACGTGCAGTGGTGGCGCTAGATTTTGAAGCACGCAGTACTCTAATATTTCCTGCTCCTCCCACTCCATTATCACTTTCACAATCTGTTGTCCTTTCACTTGTCTCATTCCAAATATTTTCTCGTCTGTTGTTGCTTTCTGTACCTATTTCGTCTTCAATCTTGTGGTCGTCATCTTCTTCCCATTCATACGTTGCCTGTTCCGGCCCATGTTTTCTGTGTCTTCTACTACTTCTAGCTGTCAACAAAGAGTCTGCAAAGTCTGGTTCGATGCAAGGTTGAAAAGAGGAATCGTCGTTAGGCGAAAGCAAAAGCAGTTCAATCAGTTAATCTTCCAAATTGTCTTCTGAATCTGTACCATCTGAAAGGCCAAACATGGCTTCCAACTGCAACTCAATTTCGCAATCGTTTATCGACCGACGACGGTGCTCCATATTTTATTCTGTAAATAAAAATAAATGTCACTGGTACTGGCATATATATTGCCATCAACAGGTAATGTACTAACTGGTAGTGGCAAATATACTGCCGACGTGATATTTCCCGATTTCTCTAATAATATTGTATATTCATCTAAAATAATTATCTAAGATTGACATAAAAACACAAATCTAACGATTACTAAAAAAAACTTACCAAAATAACAGTTTTTTGTAGAGATTGAGCCGGATTACTCTCGAGAATCGAAAAAGCCACAAATTCTAACTAACTTGACATTTATTTGACAAATGTCAAATGAATGTTACCAATTATTATTTTTTTCCATCGTACTAGTTTGTTATCTATTGCCCGAAATGATAAAACATTTCGTTAATACAAATCTTCTTTTTGTGGAGCCACGAAAACATGTCGGCAAATATAATGCCTCTACTAGACAAAGGGTTAAAATATTACACTGAGGAAGACCAGTAGAAGATGAAATTTTTAATGTAACAATTTAAACAATTCGAGCTTGTGATATATCATAGTCCACTGAAATGGGTCAAAAGGGTGAAAACGGGGCTTTAATTTTAAAAAAGGTTTTAGGTCACAAAAATATTAAAGAGAATATCCCTTTTAACTAACAAATTTCTGCTATTTCTTGTATTGTTTTGGCGTTTAGAAGAAACTTGGAAAATGATTTCTTATATTTACGCGAACACTAAACATTGAAATAATACTAGTTTTTACGGAATTTATCGCGTATATTTTAACTTTTTAAATACCCGACGTTTCGAACGCTTTACAGCACTCATGGTCACGGGCAGGACTGAGATGTTCAACGTCCATCTGTCATAGTTAACCGCGGTTACCATAGATGAAAATTTAACTTTTGTTCCGATCTATGCAGTATGAACTTATGGTGTCTTGAAGTCTTGCAGTTGTATGCTTGGGTTGGGATTTAATTTTATTTATTATAGGATCCCAAGCATATGGTAGCACCCAGCCATCTTCTCTATTGATAATTTAAAAAGTTTTTAAAAAGTTAAAATATACGCGATAAATTCCGTAAAAACTAGTATTATTTCAAAGCTTGGAAAAATTAAACAATTAGTTGAAACTCCGTTCCAAAGGCAAAATCTCTTCAATAGTACTCAATTGCTGTAATCTGAGGGCTATTTTTGTTGAATAACATAGCAATTGAGAAACTCAATTTATAATTTGAAAAGGCTCTTAGACGTCGCTAAAAGCTGTCATAACTAACCGCTCGTAAATCAAATCAAACAAAGAAACGTTCTTGAACATATTCAAAAACGTCAACCAGATGACAAATTATAAAAAAACAAAGCTTGTGGTAACATTTTCTGGTTTCTGTGGAAGGGAAGGGAGGTGAATATTCTTAAACCGCAATTACACGGTAGAATTATTGCTTATGAAAATTATTTTGTTATGTTAATGTCCCGACCATTCTCGTTACACAACGCTGAGCTGGAAGGTTGACAAAAGCAGCAACGACAGTGGGACGTTGACAAAATATGCGTTAGCTCTTGTCTTTGACCGATCGAGGATGGAAAGAAGATAAACTAAGTGATACATACTCGTCTATACTCAAACCACTTAAAATAGGTATTTACCGAATCTATATCACCAATGAGGTCACATATTCAATACCATTATCATCCATTCTGTACAATAAAATCGAAGGAGCTTTGTGTAGCTCTACTAGAGGCTGAAATGTGCGCTATTTGTAGCACGCTATTGTAAGCTCGATTTGCATAGGAGCAGATAACAGCAGTTGCGATAAGCATTGCGATGCTACGAAGGCTTGGTCGTTATCTACTGAGACGACTGATGTCGATTAACATCAAATGATCGGATTTAAAACTGGGATAACAATAAACGTCATAACGAATCAATGTCAGACTTAGCTTTACAAATAAAGAAATCTAATATATAAATGTATCTTTTTTTAGCCCTTTGCCTCAAAATAATTATCAGAGGCAGTTTGAAAGTGGCCCCAGTCCCGGAAAAATTGAAGTTGTTTTTAAAAAGTTCCAGGTAAGCGTTGTATGGGAATATTATGAAAGAGAAATAATCCACGTAACTATAAAAGTAAATATTGGCTATAAAAGTAATTGGATATAAGAGTAGAGGGAGGACTGAGAAAAGATGGATGAAATAGGGATAATATGCCTGAGAAAGGAGTAAGTGAAGAGATGACGGCTAATAGAGAAGAATGGAAGAGGAAAACATGCTATGCCGACCTCGAGCAACTTGTGATAAGGGCAGGAAGAAAAAGATATATTTAGCTCTCTCGTTCGTTGTAGAAAGGATTTGTCTTAAACGCCATGCATGGCTGATGAATTGGTGGTTGGTACCGCGTGGTGACGCTGAAAGAATATCTACCACCTCATATCATTCCGTGGATGTCTTAAGAGACGACAAATCAGTAGATGGCCAGAAGCGTCTTCCTAATAACGTCTTAAATTAAAATAAAAACTGCGGTTGCCAACTCGCTTGCCTAGCGTGGCAACTATGGCAATTATACCCCGTTTGTTGCAATCTACGACTGAAGCTTATGTTAAGCAGTGACCTTTTATAGACTGTAAGGATAACGTCTGGGAAATTGCCGATCGCAGTAAGAAACGTTTCCCATTTTTGACACTGTATTTTACGTCTTGCGTAACCGAGGTAGTTCCGTCAGTTCGCCTTCTATAATAACTATATAATTTATATAGTTGCCTCTTATGAAAAATATAGGAATAAATGGGTTAATGAATTATTTTAAGCCGGCAATATACGACACCCACTTTATATAATTATAAAGTTAATAATTTCTTCAGAAATTTTGTTTACTACCAATTAACTCTTCGATATATTATAATTATCTCCATAATTCGTTGATGATTTCATTTATATAAAGACGTAATCCAAAATCTTAATGTTCAATTTGAAGAACATGTAAAAATTATCAAGCTAAAAATGCCATTACAAGTAAAAATTATCAAGCTATAAAATACTTTCAAGCTTCGCGCCTCGGTCAAGAGTTCCTTATCTTAAAGGTAAAGAACAACTTCCAGAGGTACTAACTAGAATGTTGTATAAATAAATACATTATTTTTTCATCCCCTATTTTCCTACTCTGAAGTTTAAACTATGTAATAAAAAAATAATCTTGTAAATCAATACTTCTCTTTAAAAAATCAATGAATAACATAAAAATATATGCGTCGAATACATAACCCTCTCGTTTTGTTTGGACCTAGATAATAAATCAAGATATTACATTCGACACATCCCTACCATTATTTGCTTAGCTCTACCCAAACTCAACAGCAAGTTTGCCGTAACCACTACTACGAGTACACATCATGTAGAGTAGTTCATAGATAAATCACGTCTGCAAACACACCGTACAGGATCATACTCATTCGAATCGACTTGAATAAAATTTTATATACTTGAATAGTTTTATTAGTATACTGCTTTTTCTTTACTTTTTTTAATAATAATTGAAAACATAAATGTCCATAGATGTCAGTATTAATTTATAATTAATGTGTTAGTAAACTTATACGTCAAAACTTGAAAACAAGAGTATGCAGTCAGTCCGTGTTGCCAGTCATTACATGATATGAATCTGTCACGTGGTCCTTTTCTGCTCGCCGTATTAAGAAGGTCAAGGTCTCTCTACGTCGACTTCGAAATGAGGATATTCAAAGTAGGTCCAGAGGTAGCAATAGGCTAGTCAAATGACGCGATGAATAGACCAGCAAAGAGAAGAAAGATTTTTTAAAAAGAGCAGCCGCCACTAGATAAAGTGAATAAAGTGAATACCTGGTAAGCGATAAAGGAAATCGATGGATGCAAAGGGCTCAGAACCGTGCTTTGTGGCATTCTTTGGGGAAGCCTATGTACAGCAGTGAATTTCTGAAGGGCTGGCACGATGACAATGATGTTGATGTTAGTACTTAAATTTTTTAAAAAGAGCAGCCGCCACTAGATAAAGTGAATAAAGTGAATACCTGGTAAGCGATAAAGGAAATCGATGGATGCAAAGGGCTCAGAACCGTGCTTTGTGGCATTCTTTGGGGAAGCCTATGTACAGCAGTGAATTTCTGAAGGGCTGGCACGATGACAATGATGTTGATGTTAGTACTTAAACACTAATACGGATTTAGTCCTTCATATGAGTTTTCTTATCTGAGGCTCATACATATTCCCAAAAATGCCCAGGTGTAGCGAGTCCGTTTTTTTGTGCTAAATGGCATCAAAGCCATCTGTCCGCATCACGTGTCAGTCAATAATGGCTTCCAGACTTAATTTCGATCACGGCGGCCATTCTCAACAGAAATCACCTTTGCGCAATTAAGATACTACTCTACTCTCTTACTCCCAAGTTTCGATGGGACGGTTATTCGACAAGACTGGAGAGATATCAGGCGCAGCACCAACGGATTTACGTTTTTCCGAGACCCGTATCGGCAGGCGCGCTTACTGGACCGCGTTTATCTACCTCGTTATGTAGACATATTTGATTGAAGTTTTACTTAACTCGTAGTACTTTGTAAGTCCTTTGTAAATATTGGAAACTGGCTTGCTAAGTACAAAATTGTATAGTACGCATTGAATAACGTTATCTTCACAACGTCTGTACAGCGGGTTGCGGATAAGCATATTCGCTTGACAATGACATGTGTTCCCACCCCATATTATCTCCACATCATTTTCTGAGTCTTCAGTTGCAACGGTCTTAAGATTTTAAGTATATAAAATTAAGGTGTTTAAATACTAAGTATATGTTTTCAGGTGGCATTTTTGCAAGCTGTTATTATCATCATCATATTTATATGAGCGCATTATACTGCACGATATACATCTAGTATATCTTCACTGAAGATATATGTGTTGCGGGGGAGGATAAGGTTTAATTGCTACACTTAACTGGCGTTACTGCAATAGCTGTTATACAAACATTTGTTGTAATTTACGTAATACCATTCTCGTGGAATTA